TTGCTACATCCCTGGTTTCCCTCCTAATGCTTCCTTGCTAGCCATCTGTCATCTACCAAGTATTTGCCAAAGCAGCTTTTAAAAATGTGTTGCTCTACTCTCTCTTTTCTTTAGCCCTCCCCACAACTTAAAAAATGTTTTTTCTTCTGTATACAAAAATACAAATATTTGGCTGGAGCAGGTGAGATTTCTGAATGTAATGGCTGAAAATTCCCAGGTAGACCTTGGGAAATTATATTAAAGCCACTTGGGTTGTCACTAATGATTCTGGGGCCTAGAGTCCACAGCTATTTAAAAGGAAGCCTTTCAAAAGATCAAAGAAATGGCTCAAACTATCAGTACCTATGGAATACCAGAAAATTCTCACTATTATTAAATGAGCATATTTTAGGAAAAAAACTAGTAAATCTACTTTGTGATTCATTCTTTGGGTAAAACTTTATTATTGTTTTTATTTTTCTGCTTCTTTAGTTTTAAGCCACTGGTGCTTTTCTAAAGACAGTGGTTATCTTCACATTAGAGTTGAAACAACTACTTAATAACATCTTTTTCTTGCTTCCTTCCAGTTTTGTACAACTGATCACACTTCAACCTCTTTTTTTTCTTTTGGTCTTCCTAGAAGAGCTACTATTGGTTTTTTTGGTCTATTTTCTTCCTAATGTCTGTTTTTGGAGGAAGATGGTTAAACAGATGCTTTCTGTTTTCCTTATCCTGGTGAAGGTGATTGCCAATGGGTAGCCTATCCCACTGGCCACACTTCCCCCCTAATCTTTCTCAAGATCTCTAAAAGGTGGCTCCTTGGTACCCACAAATATTTTGCCATTTCTCCCTTGGAGTGCAACTGTTAGAACTGTTTGATTGAGGTACTTGGGGAATGCTCTGAATTTGTTAGTAATTGATTTGGTTCCTTGTTATACTGGTTATATGCTTAAGGTCTCTGATTTTCATAGAAGTTACAGAACTGTGTAAATATAAAGATGTGGGGGGGCTTTTTGGTGCATTTCATCAGAAGTGTGATCAGCGTCCTTTGTATGGAAGAATTAATTAAAAGTTAGAAGGAAGAAGAGACGAAAATATGGGAGGGAAAAAAATAAGAGTTTGTTGGAATGAAGAGGGAGGTGAAGTATCCCAAAAATCAACTCATAAGTCTCTAGCCTTGTGTTCCAGGCATGAAAATAAAGAAAAAGAATCAGAATCTAAGAGTACCAAATCTAGTAAGAGTAAAAGAAGTTGGGAAATTGCCTCTAAAATGATGTTTACTCTTTCTCAAAGCATACCTGTATTCTTTATTCTTAGGAGTAAGGGAGAAATTTTTTTTGTAAGTGTTGAGGTCTGGTGAATGACAAACCACCAAAATAAGTTATTTTTTAGAGTTGGAATTTATAGAATCATGGAACATAATATCTGAGGAAACTTAGAATTGTTCTTTACTCACATTTGTTTATTCAACAGGTGTCAGGTCACATAGGTGAAAAAATAATTTCTATCCTAAAGGGTAGAATAATTGTTATGAAAAGGTTTAAGCACATTATAAAAAGCATACACAGGAAGAGGTATCTGTTGTTGTTGCTCGTTTTTGAGATGAGGTAGCAATACTTGAGTTAAATCTTGAAGAAGAAATAAGAATTTTCCTAGTGAACGGGAGGGAAAGAAATCCTGTCTGAGGAGATAGCATATGAGAAAGCACAGGAATACAATAGAAGAGGGCACATTTAGAGAATAGCAAAAATTTGGTATGTTAGAGATGCCTATCATTTCTCCTGTGCTCACAACCCCGTGTTAGGAACCTGTTCTCCTCAAAGCTAATATATATTGAATGACCCTGTACCCCTGCCCACGAGACCAGGAATTGGCCCTTGACAGCAGCTAATGAGATTTTTTCTCACAGTAATAAAATAAACCAAATGGACTTTCATTGTTAGTAATGGTAGACTATATAATTCAAGTCAACCCTCCTACTGAAGACCACTAAACAAGCTGGATGAAACATAAAAAGCATAATATAAAAGCATCTAATAACTAACAAGATAGTGAGAAATTACTGGGCCAAGATTTTGGATAGGTAAGAATTTTGAAGTGATGAGCCTAGTACTCATGCTGCTTTTGTCTAGAGGCATATATGTATTCAGAAGTGACTGGGAAGCTAAGCTGCATTTTTGGTAGTCCTGTGAGCCAATGGGGACAAAAATTGGAGTCCAGGATCCATAAAGGGTAGTAA